TGTCATTCGGGGAAGCATTCGAGAGTTTCCGAAAATGAAATGTTTCCTTTAGGAATCTCACTGCTAATCTCATATCTCCTTTCTTTTAGTGAATGCTTGGCCGTGCGGCTCTTCGGGGAAGGATCGCTTTGATACGCCAGGGGCAACGAATTCGATATCGTTCTACTGCCCCTACCACAACGACGGCCGGTAAGTGGTTTATATTCGTTGAGTACTTTTTTAAATGAACTGATAAAAATGTGTCTTTTTATTCTTTAGATGTTCAAAAACGAGTTGATGACGATATGTTAGAAACCATTGACATCGAAGACCTTCCACGAGCTCAGAAACGCTTTGCAAAACAGTTCGAGAAGGTGAGTTTTTTTTTCAAAGTGTGAACCTTGATACGAAGATTAGCAATGTTACTTGTTCTCAGTCCTTGTTCTATGGTTTGCGCGACCCTCGTGACTCACTATCAGTCGAGTAGCATTGGCTGGTGGTACGCCATGACATCGCGAAAATTCTAGTCAATAGGTGGCACAGTTCTTTCAACTACACAACTCAAGTCAAGTGCCTTCTCCTCTGTTGAGGATACTTTGACCCATAGCAAACTTTGAGAAGTGTAAAGATAATGAAGGATTTCTCTGTGCGAGTATGGTAGTGATGGTGTGAAATGATGATAAGAAACAACTCATGACCTCTATCCTCCGTGTTCACGACCACTCGGGATTCAGGTCCAGCTTCCCCACGCCGACGTTTGGCATCGATAAGGTGGGATGGTCTCCAATCTCGAGTTGGATGTGTTAGCACCTTTTACTAAATGATTTTTCTTTATCAACGGCCTTGTTCTTAGTTTCATACCGAGACCATTATGGAAAGTTGAAACGAAAATGAGTTGAATTCAGTTTGTGTTAACAGCAGTACAAACAGCTGAATCCAATCCAATTTAGTCTGCCTCTGCTGTGTTGCAGTTTAGTTCCAGGCATCAGGCAATGTGAATCGTTGCGTTGGGATTTCGAAATCACTACGACCTCCCGTTCATAGGTGGGTGGGTCCCCTACAATCCTACGACCTCTTTTCACTTTATTGTATGGACGATGTAATGGAACTGACCCTTGTCCTCCTTATACGCTCCGACCACCAGAAGTTTCTCAAGATGTGGAGGGGGTGGGGGGAAGCAAGTAATGCCTAACCAGCAGAGGGTGAACTTCTTTTATACTTTGCAGAAATTTTTCTCGCTTCTTAAAATTTTTCTGTTCCATTGCCTCCGAAATCAACAATGCTAATCCAAGACCTTTTTCCAAGTATCACAGGTACGTCTCCCTCGGCTCCACATCCTTGAATCTAGCATAACTGATGGTTGACCATGCTTTCAAAGTAACAATTTACGGTGACAATATTATCTGTGTGATCCTGTCGCTTTTACATTCGATGGCGGCCTATTGCAATGCTTAATCACGATCCAATTTTTTCTGTACTGAAGCACCGTGCGGATGAAAATACAATCAATCATTCCATGTCGATAAGGGCGATCGAAATAATGCACATCTGACGAACGCTCCTTTTGGCCTAAATCTATTCTGCTGGTGGTACGACGTGGAAAGTTTGGTGAATTTAATGATAGAGCGAAGTAATCAAAGCCAGTTTCATTTTTGCCGCTATCTCCCTTTGTGATACATCGCTGGTGCTCAATCATAAACTTTTTTTCAGCTTCTTTTTATCCACGTTGGTTTGTCAGTAAATTTCAGTAACGTATTCCCCGTTCTGGGTTTCCCTCTTCTACAGCAAATGTTGCATTCGTCAGCGAAGTGCTGCTAGTTCAGGCCATGTTTGTTCGTGCGTTTATTGGATGGGCGCAGACTTTTAGGCAAACATTACTCATAGAATAGATTCACATCGACATCCATGCATTCGTCGTTGCGGTTTCGGTTTCACTTGATTGAGCCACAGTTGTTTTCGCAAAGAACTTGTGACCTCGCGGTGTCTTGGTCATGGCCGGCGTTCGTGTTTCTGCAGGAGAACTTATGCCGTCTCCAGCTCGTCCATGCAAACAGTCAACAGTGCGATGACTCATTTTTCCACTGCAGTGTATTCACGAATAAGCGAGGCTCCCCATTGAAGCCCAACGTTGCGTCCGCATCTTTGAATACCTAACGAATGTGTTACGTGAACAGAAATGCTAATATGGACGCACATACAAAAAGTAGCCCTCGTTGGTACCCTTTGATGGATCGATTCTGGAATGGAACCCAGTTCTCCCAAAGAAGGCATTTTTAGTTAGTCATGTACTCGTAAAACTTTTCGTAAAGATTCTCTATAAACTCCTACACTCAGCTCATTCTATCAGTTATCATTTCCATTCCGGCTCTGACTTTTATAAAGGGTTGTGGTCATTCATGTTTTATGGCTTTGGTAAGCGTAGGTTGTTCTCCAATCATATGTTAACCCCGTTGCCGCCCATTGCGCGTTTGGGTTTTTGCACCACCGCCGTGGTTCCGAGCGATTTTGCGAAGCGCCGCCCGCGCAACACCTAAATCCATGTATGTTGAGTGCTGCCATAATACGCAGTAATACTTGGATCGATGACAGTGTCCAATAATCTTCAGATCTGTCTAAACTTGTCCCGGGAGTCGCTAAGCAAATGGAATTGGACCAAATGCGTGTTATAGCCAAGAAAGGGCAAAGTTTACCTACTTTCCCTTTGGTGGTTTCAAAACTAATTTCGTTAAAAACACATATCTTCCAATACGATTAGGTTTGTATCGCTTCTATGTCTTTGTCAACCATGTTACGTTAACGAAAGGAAACGAGTAATTAAGGAACAGATCATTATTCATAAAGTCTGGGAAAGCGTCTGCCAACTAAGAATATTTTTGGGCCTTTCTGTGAGCCCATGTGGATTTACACCTTTGACTCCATCAGCCCATATGTGGGCTGCAGTCCTCCGACCGCATAGGACCTTTCAGCTCGCATTTCGTAACAATTATTAGGGTTTTTCACTCATTTTCTTTTCCATTTTATTCGAAAGATTTCTTCTGCATTATACAGTGGGTTCTTCTTCTTGAATTTGCTAGATAAGATCCCTAAAGAATATTTCACCGAAGTCCCGCGCGTCCGCGGAACGTAAAACACGCGCGGTCTCCAAAGTGTTAAGTATGCTAATGTATGGCCTACAGAATGAGTACAAAGACCTTAGGAATAAGTCGCGCAAGCGCAAGAAAAAGGGATGACTTGGGTGGGACGCGTTACCGCGTCACAATGTCCCACGAGGTGCGCAAAGTGGGACGCGTTACCGCGTCACGCTGTTCACGGGTGTGGTTCACTAGGACAGAAAGCGACTTTTTCGCGTTTCGCAGCGCGAAACATTGTTCGTTGCGGGAATCTCGGGTCCACTGATGATTCGCTGCGGGAACCTCGGGTCCACTGATGATCAGCGGTGGACCTGAGGTTCCCGCAGCGGAAATGTTTCGCGCTGCGAAACGCGAAAAAGTCGCTTTCTGTCCTAGTGAACTACGCCCGTATGCGAAAAATTCCCATGTATGGTTGCTCGATTGAGATCGGAAGCGAAAAAAAATTCGTGTGGTGCCAGTTCAATGTATGCCATTGCCTTTCTGTCACAGTAGTGATATTTCACCATTTAAAACCATTTTGTTCCCAGCAAAAGTTATATTTTGAATGGAGACTGCGGCAGATCTTTTACATGTTCGCTATAGGCTCTTGTTCAGGTGAACGAGGAGCGAATAAAGGAGCTGTTTGCGAAGAATTACAAGAACCATATCGCTATGGCGGTGCTACTCTGCCTTGTCGTCGGTATCTACTATTACACGATTCACGCCGTGAAACAAGAAACGTTCCTCGAAGAAATCGACGAAGAAATGGCTGCAGAGCGACCCAGCACACACGGTCATTTACGACCGGTGGAAAAGTCATGAAACTTTCAAGCTCTTCTTCCCAGTGTTCTCTTGTATGACCTCTTCACCACCGCTATCTTATCATTCGCTCATTTGCGGGAATTTCCGCTCAGATTTGTTTGTTTTGTAGATGTATCTATGTTCTATAGCGCTCGTGCTCGCATCGATTATAGGTCTATTTTATTACAGTTTAGACATACCTAGGATAGAAATTTCAGCGTTGTCGCTTTGTATGTCGTGCGCGTTGTTATACAGTTTTGATTTTGACAGAATAAAAGAATATATGTTTCAGGTGAAAGTGCTGCTGTAGCATGAATACTGAGGAGGTTCCAAAAGTACCCGAAAAGTCCTACGATGACGTGAAACATACTCACAACACGGACCATGCACCTTCTGAAGTCGCTACTAATTCAGTGGAGGAAAGCAGAAATCAGCTGGATAACAATAATTCAACATCAGAGAAGGTACTTTTGTTAGCAATATTTTTCCCTTTGAGAAAACAGATTTACCTTTCATTCATTAAAAATCTAAAAATGAAGAAAGTGGTTTTCTTTTTGTTGGAAATTCCCGCAATTATTTTTATTTCATAGACTTTCATTCAATCTAATGTCTACACAATATTTTTATTTGTCATGCTTACAATAACAGTTCATTTGATTCTTACGCTGTGTAAAATGCTAAAATTGTGGTCATCCATTATCAGGTGTCATCTACTCCTCCCTCTTCATCTGTTGTGGATAACCCGTCAGTCCCACCACCTGAAGAAACAGCGGACAAAGTACAGGCGCACGCATAGTCGGTCGGACGACAGCAACGATCGTAACTGTCGCACAGCATTGGATGCGTATCGATCGTCGGACTTGCCTGAGTATTCGACGATTAGATGCAGTTAGACAGTCAGACAGTTGCGATCGTTGCTGTCGGACGACCGACTATGCGTGCGCCCTTACGCTGTGTAAAGAAAAAATTGTGGTCATCCATTATCAGGTGTCATCTACTCCTCCCTCTTCATCTGTTGTGGATAACTCATCAGTCCCACCGCCTGAAGAAACAGTGGACAAAAGTACGACGGCTCCTCCTCCAACCATAGTATGCGACGAGTCAGTAACTAGTTCGCCTCCCAGTACCTCGAGATCAAGCAAATCGCCGGCGGTTAAAGAACGATCTCCAGCTCCATCACCGGCTCCTGTCCCGCCGGCTCGAACAAAAAAGAGGAAAGTGAGTTTTTTGTACATTGCATTTGCTTTGATTTCCTGTTCAAAACAATTTTCTTGTATATCCGACTTCATTGTATCGCAAGTCAATTTTATAGAGTAGATTCGTGTTTACGATAGTAAGGATTCCCGTCTTCTGCAGGTCCAGTGGTCCTCTATGCAGAGCTGGTTATAAGTAGTGCGTATAGTTGCCACCCAGACTATCACTAGGTCGACCATTTCATCACTTCCATTCGACCCACCGGTAGCATTCTTGTTTAACGGTATGTAGTGACTCTACTACTTTTGTGGAGCAGACGTGCAGCAGTTATCAGCTGAGTCGGAAAGTATCTTTTCCTCTAGTATCTTGAGGCATGTGCTTTGGTTGCTATTGTGGGCAGTTTGAAACGTAAACTACAACTGTCGCAAAATTGAAGCATATATTATCGTAAAACAAGCGGCGCTCAATTTTGCCTATCTTGCACCGAAGATTATTTGAAGCACTTCTGGAAATTTGAGTAATCAGTTATGCGTTCATATCCAAGAGAGAAGGTCAATTATTTGTGGTAGCTTTGCGATACTAGTGTGTTTCATTTGCTATGAGCTCCGCAAGGAGTGGTTGGTCTATGAATGATTGCCGAGCCCAAAATTTGGTAGATGCTGCTACGCAAGTGGTTTCGATTTCATCGCCCTGAGGGTGAAACAAAGAGGTAATGCGTCTGTAGTTATTAAACAATTGTGATGAGATGATCTTGTTGAGTGTCATTTCCCGCCGTTTAGTCATACAAGTTTTCTCATAAGAGTAGATTATTCCACCCATGAGTTACTGGCAACACCCTTGTGAGAATGGACGATTGTGACTCTTCAAACATCGGGCTAGGTACACTGGGCAAATTTCACGCTGTTGTAAACACACTTACTACATAAGATGATGCGGTGGCTGAGCGTAGAACTTCGTTTTTGTTACTTAACTGATAGACTTGAAACTTTACAAACTTGTAGTACATATAATATGAGGTTACGCGAGGAAAAAATGGGTAGTCGTGACTACGGTGGAGGCAGTCGGCCTAATTTTGGGCCTGTCGTTCTCTGGCTGAGGCACTGAGCATTATGATCTCCAAAATTTCACTGAAATATAAGGTTTGTGCTAGAAAATTTGTTCCGAGTATCAGACGTACGAGGATGTGGAGCCGTCAACATGTCGAGGTTAAGGCTGCACATGGACTCCATAGTGGTCTGAAGTGGGGAGAGTCACCTGCGAATGAGTGATATTCCCCGCCACTGACTGTCGAGTCGCGGATGCATCGTTCGAACTGCTCGCGCATCGCTTGTACCCCTCGATTCGCTGGATTCGGGAAGCCTGACGCCAGATAATGAAAAAGATCAAGGATGATAGCAGCGATAGTGCAGCCGAACACAAGAGTATTAGTTGTCGGAACCTTGGAACAATCGGTCGAATCAACGGGCAAACAGTAGGTCATTATCACTGACTTATTTTGACTTACCATTACTTCCTTCCGTGGTGTTGGCACATCGGGCTATGTGTCCTTTTCACGTTAACGATCTTGCGAAGCATTCCACTCTCGCCTTTACAAGCAGTGGTTATCTTGAAGTTTCATCAAGTGATCTCCTTCATGGACTCTTGTTTCTTGGCTTTTGGAGGAGTCAGTCGAGGATGTAGGATCTCATTCGTAGGTTTGTATCTTCATAGTTTAACGCAGGCAACAGTGGAGGGCGTTAGTATTTCTCACTAAGCCAGCAGTAATTCTTTTGCTTCCATATACTGCTGTTGGAACCTTAAGAATGGCCTATGAAGGTCACTGTTCGCGACTACAAATAAGGAGAGCAGACTTGGCGAATTGCCCTAGTCTGCCCCGCGTCGATTCTTCGTGCAGCTATTGCATCTTATACATAGGTTATATTCAGGTGCGGTTCATTCCGGATGCTTCTAGAGTCGGTCAGAAGCTAAGCCGCAGTGGGTACTCAAATGAATAAATTTATTGCAGTTGCCCTTTTTGGGAAGGATCTGACGACGTAACACGGAATTGTTTGTTATAATTATAAGTAGTTCTTTCGATCGTTCGTGAATCGAGGTCGCTTCTATCTTCAGTCAATAAACTTATTCAGATTAACTCTACTTCGAAACGTCCGAAGGTATTTGAATGGATGTGTGTTATTGTGAATTGGTGGTGTGCATATGGATCCCCTAGGAAATCAGTTTTATTAGGAAACTCCATTTCCTGTACACATTTCAGGTTACTGATTTTCGATGCGCTGAAGTACGGTGGTTCTATCGACGAAACGAAGCTGATAAATGGATCAATTTCAATGGTATTCTCAATGCTTTCAATATGAATTGCTCATAATGATGAATATTTACTACTTCAGGAAGAGATTCTCTGTGTTTGGAGGCAAAATATCGCTCCGTCTTCAGTATTCCCTTGGACGATCAAATGACTGTTGAACTCCTTGAACATGGCTTCACGTTCAGGCAGTCGGTGGTAGTGTTGGAAGGACTTTATAAGTGAGTGTGGTTCAATCCATGTGGAAACGTTGGAGAACCGTGGCCCATATTAGGCCTAGTTCTGATCCCAGTCCGCTCAAGAGCTCTCTAAAGTTATAAGTTGCATTATGGCGGCTTCACTCCGCCGCCGCTTCTCTGAGTTTTTTGTTTGCTTTTCTTTTTGGAAAACGGCGGTGCTGGTGTAGTTGAAGGGGCTAGCGGTGGCCCAATGGTAGTGGCTGTTTGGACTAAGCTTGGGAGAGAGGAGCAACAGCAGAGAAAGTGGTAGTTGCTCAAGCCCCACCAAGATTATATTCCTCAAAGCATTAGACCGGGTACTGAGCCGCCGCATCCTTGGCTGCCATTTGGAGAGCTACTTGCTGTGCGAGGTACATAGCTCCGCCAGTGTAAGCCTTATAGGGAGCCGGGTAGTTGAGTAATCTTTCAATTGTGGCAAAGATCGCAGTATGCGAAATTGCCCAAAATTTGCCACTTACGTCTCCCAAAGCTTGAGCTGGAGCTCCCTTACCCTGAAACGCAGACGAGCAGAGCGCCGCGTCAAATATGGGAATTCTTCTTAACATTTGCGCATGAATCTGTCATGTTTTCGAATCAGCGTTCCACTGCCACAAAAAGATGTCTTCCAACAATGATTTACCGGGATAACTTTTGATATATTTAATCAATGTTAGTGTATCCCCATGAAAGTGAAACATGAAGCGTATAACTTCGTATAATGTATGCTGAGTGATCCCAAGGACATCGTACTGGTGGGCTTGATTATGCCGTAGATTATGGCTCACAATTTATGTACTTAGGGGGGTGAGTTGGAATGGGAAAGAAATTAAAATTGGATGGGTCATTTCTTCAGCACAGCACGCAGCGTTTGTTGATTAGAACGAGAGATATTGCACTCTTTCTCAGCTTTTGTTCATATGATTCTGTCTCTTATGTTTTAGAGCAAACGATGAACTCAACAAAGTGGAGGCTATATACTGGAAAGGAGATTCCTGTGAGATAAGGAGAGGGACATGGTTTCTTCAAGTTAGTTCTATCCTTCACCTTTTCGAACTTTAAATGTTTCATGTGTTTATTTCCCTCTTTACAGAGCTTTTTCTTTAGTAGACAACTAGTATTTCTTTAAGGACTGGCAACCCTTAGAACCACCGGTGGCGGAAGCCATTGAAGCGCATCATTTACAGTACTTCAGAGGTCAAGCAATTCCAGAAGGGCTGACGGTTTTCTCTCCAAAGGAAACTAGTAATAAACCGCGTACGGTCAGTTTTTCTCCCCATTCATGCTTCCTCTACGACATTATGCAAGTATGTTGCATTTTAGAATTAACCGAGCTACAATTAGATGGGATGGAAGTGCGATGGAGTTCAGTCATAGATGTGTCACTATCTTTCAAAAGGGGAGCGATATTGAGGTAAGTGTTCGATTGTCATATGTATGCATATATACAGGGGGGGGGCCAAAACCCTATGTCGGACTTCGGCCTTTTTTTCTTCGCAGAGATTGCCGTCGTTGACGGGAGTTCCTCAGCAGAGTATTCCCTAAGTGTCCCTCTATAAGTGAACGCAGGCCCTCCTTCACTGCCCTCACCGTCTTCAGAATATGACGTCATCTGTCACCGTCGTCAGGCTCAAGGAGGTCTACCGTAAGTGCTTCAGCCTGAAGCTCTTACGCAATTTCGTGAATCGATTTAATGTTGGATAGTTTTCTAGAGGCATTAGCTCCCACTATGCAAATCCCCTCGAAACTAGCTTTCCAGTAAAGGTCGTTATGGTACACGATCCTTCGAAGACCCCATTGAGCTCGACCAGTGCACCATGTTTTTCCAGGGCAAATTCTTCTGATGCCGTCCACGTAGGTGGCCACTATGAAGATTTTCTTATAGAATGAAATGCGCTCTTCAATAATAAGTTGGGAACCATTCGGTCTGAATTGAGCAAAGTGTGCTTAAATCCATCTGAAAGTGGAGACAAAATGTCTTTTTTTTATTGCCCCCCCCCCCTGTATGTAGCCATTCTCACTTGTGCTACTCTAAATGTATGTTGCAAGTTATCGACAAGGAAAAGAATCAGTCAGTTGGCCTCATTCGAATACTGGGGTCACTCAAGGGGACGGGGTGATTCCTGTGTTCCGCTTTGGGATCTGACTTATAACAGGTTACTTATCGCTTATCTGGAGTTTGTGGTGGGCATTAGCGAAGCCTTTTTTGCCCAAGCTCTCAAGTGTAGAAGTAGTTGCAGTTCTTGGCAAGTAGGGAAAGGGTTGGTTGAATTTGTGGTTTTGAGTTTTATGTGTTCTAAGTGGCCGGCCGATGAAGCATTGAGCAAAAGGAACGGCCGAAAGTGCCATAATTAAGGTGAAGCTTTTTGCACTCATTTTTGGTTTTTGTATGAGCTTACGGCCATCAGTCGTTGGGCGTCGGGCAAGGGAGGAGACGGCACGACGGGAGCAGGCATCGAGGAGACGAGAGGGTAGAGAGAGGCGGCCGAGAACGCAGACTAGGTCGGTCAGCTGTGTCATTTTTGGGACGGAATTACCTGC